AAATTATTGGACACGTGACCACAGTAATTAGCTATATATATATATATATATACCGCAGCAGGGCGAGACTCACAGACGTACAATCATAATTTCAATAACATTACTGATACACTATGTTTAACCCCAACCGACAGTGAAATGATTTAAGCGCATAATGCCATTATGACGTAACAGGTCATTGATGCTGAAAAATGCATATATACACGTGACGCAATGTCAATCATAATACATTCGTTATCCATTCAACATTAGATTATTTCTTTATGACTATTTTCCTGTCCGTTTCTTGGCAGCTCAACAGTCTAGTTTCTATGGATACGCTGGCATGCTCCCAAAACGTTTCACGCAAGGAGTGATGACTGGTGAAAGTAAGTTTCCCATTTTTTGTTAACAAACATTTTTTGAATAGACACATTATGGAGAAAGTTTGTGTGGATTACATTGTTATATTTCGGAAAAATCTAACCATTACAGTCCAAGCCGAATTTAGGTAACGAAGGTTTTGATGTAGCTCACAGTATGTTGTTAATTTACGATTGTTTGTTTATTTATTTCAGCATATGTAAACCTTTTCATGCATCTTATAGTAAATTAATATTTACAGTAGAATCGGGAGTATACGTTTGCTCACAGTCCCTACACGCCACATCCGATTTTTTCCAGCCTCTTACGAACCAATAGTTTTTAAGTATTTACTCTTGGAGCAGCAAAGGAATTTCCTCATCCTTATAAATATTTATAAATGTTAATGGCATCTGAATCAGACCAGCTAAACGAGGGCAGCGCGCAACAACGTCACTTGAAAACGTTCCAATGTCATTCAATCGGCTAATAAAAACCTCTCGTTTCAGTTTGAATTCTGAAAGTATTTATAAAGATGAAGGAATGCCATTGTTGCGAAGAGAGTAACTCAAGTTAAAACTCCATATAGTTGTCACGGAGTGTGTGTATGAACATGTGTTTACACGCGTTGTATTCGTCGTATTGGTTCATATCGAACGCGATGCAGTGTGACTGTGATGCGTTACGATGGACGCGGTTCAAGCGGGAGGGTCGTTACCCGCGCACGCGCGAGAATCGAGTCCCAAGCGATGATAACAACACACGCTTAGAACGCAAAGGCTCTCGGGTAGACGCTTGTTTGTAAACAACGACATGCTATGACCCAATCTCCCAGGCAGAGTTCTATTTCTACGAATATACTTTCGGTGTTCTGGCCGCAAAGATCTCAGGGAAGGAGAATGGATATGACCGTCTGCCGCATGCGCAGGTGACGACTGTCGCGCTTTAAACGTACTACAAATTCTACATATTTTGAGTGTAAAGGTCTGTCAAACATATGGCAAAGAGCAAGAGAGTTGTCCGAACGTGTTTCCATGCAATATGATTTCCCCCGTAGCGTTAAACCCTAATTCTTGAGGCGACCATTTTGATTTTTTTTTAAATTGTGTGTCAATATGTATATATAACTGAAGTTTATAATTCAATCCTAAAAAATAAAATATATTTATATCTCACTAGGTGCCGCTGGTCTCCTGACGTCCATAAATCGAATAATAACTAAACTGCTGCTAAAAGACAAAACAATCAACACTCTTATTTTCTTTGGCATTTCGATATTTTTTGTGATTGTTTGCTTTTGGGTTCATTGGGTTGCAAAGAGATCGAATTTCATCACATATCATATGAAACGAATTCGGGACGCTGCCTTGCCAGATGACGCCAAGTGTGTGACAGATGACAACGACGATGTAAGAATAGTAAGGAATAGTTCTTATAGCATGTCTCACGGTATTAAACGGCGGTGGTCGTCGCGCCGCGCATGTGCGACATTTGTGTTGATAAACATTGATTTTCCCATAATTGAATGCGCTCTTTTAGTGGGTATAACGAGTACGAGTTTTGACCTGGGCGCGATGTGCACTAAAGTAATATCGATGACTCCTTCTATACCTTTCAAACACTAAAAAAATTACCCAATTAAAGCTTTGTAACGTCTCAGTTTGTACTCGTTGGTTCGCGCTACAGTCAAAGTCGCCATCTTTGTTCATATGAGACCCATATCGTGCGCATGAGTGGTGCGACGACCTCCGCCCTTTAATTATAGTAATTAATTAATTATATCTACTATCATACATACATCAACAATAATATACACAGTGTTAAATTATACTATACCAGGCCTAGGTATGAGAATCTCCGAAAGAAACAAAACACTCCTGTTGAGAAGCACGATCCATATTTAGATGCCAGTGGTAGGGGACGCTCTGTTATAGATGGCTTTACTTCAGTTTTATCATTTTTGGTAAAAGCAACATATTAATAACATATTTCGTATCCCATATTAGAGCAAAATTAATATTTCTGCATAACGATATTGAATTCCAAATTCATGCTTGGTATGCACATTCAGTGGACGTACAAGTGTACTAACATAAACACGATTAATTTAACGATATTTCCTACATGGGGCCATGACTTTTATAACTAAAGGATTCGTTAACGAAATTCGACCGCATTTGCGGCTCTCTTGCGTGGAAAAATCCTTTCATAATTCGAAAACTCATTACACGAAGAACTTTGGAAAACTTTCCCGGGGTATTTGAAATGGAAATTATCGTTCAACTGTAAGAGCAATGCTGATTGTCTCATCACGTTGGTTGATTGGTTTAAAATTACTACCAACTACTCGTTTAGCTGTGAAAGATAGTATTTTGGCCTGATTTGTAGGATTTATAGATTCAAGTCGTATTCAAGATGGCGGACCTATTGGTAAATTAGCATTAGTATTAGTATCGTATTTTTTTTAGTACACTTGTTCGTCAGATGACTGTGTCGGTATGCATATTAGTTGCACGATGTGTCATATGACGAAATACCAAGAACACCATTAAAAGATGTTTTCATCATAAAATCATACTTAGGCCTGTATATCTCCGCTATTATAACATACATACATACACTATTATAATATATTCATAAATACACTATTATAATATACTAAATACACTATTATAATATACTATGTGCCCTATTATAACACACCATATAGACTATTACATAACACTGCATGTGTTGTAGTTAGTAGTGTCGTGTTAAATGTCCTAACTATAAAAACGACACTTGCAAGTTGTCTCGTCTTGTCTCTTTCTTCGCTTTTCCCCAGCACGCTCTAGTAAGTTCGTCATCTTCGTCACAGGTACCACGTGACCGCACAACAAAGTTATACGATGAGAGCACCGAACCACTCACTCCCAGTCCATCATGTGACAGTGACGTCATGACTGTGGACATTCAGCTCTCAGCGAATGCTCTAAAGAAGTACGTTGGAATGGGTACAGTAATCAAACGTAAGTAACATTGTAATAAAATGAAAATAACACCGTAACCAAACGTAAGTAACGTCGTAATACAATGCATGAAATCGTAATCAAACATAAGTAACATCGTAATAAACTTAAGTAACGTCGTAATAGGATGCAAGTAACACCGTAATCGAACGTAAATGACATTTGCAAATTACCATGTATCTTTCAACTTGTCAGTGGGAACACAACTATCTTATCAACATGAAACTACCTTACATACAATAACCCCCTTTCAATAAAATCATATTAACGCATACAGGATTTCGTTGTACTTGTAGGTGGCATTGCATTGCGGCTAGATGCATCTCGTACCATTTGGCCGTATATGTTGTCAATTGGAATGGCCTACTTTGTTACATTGTGTCTATTTCCGGGCGTGGAATCGGAAGTTATTAGCTGTAACCTTGGAGACTGGATGCCTATCATATTAATGGCCCTATTCAATGGTTGTGACTTCATAGGCAAGGTGTGTTTGATGTACATGTATATATACGTTTTCTATTGTATGAGCGTATAACTATCCTTTCTCAGCGCTACAATGTTGAAATATTACAATGACGATTGGAGAAATGGTCGTTTATTTATGTCATGACACGATTTACGAAAATATTTTTAAATTTGGTTCGTATTTACGTCCGTAATTTCAATTGTCCACAATTGTGAAAGCATTGGTTTATTGTCTTCACAGATCGTGGCAGCAATACCGTACAACTGGAATCCGAACAGACTGGTCCTCGCGTCATCCCTACGTATTGTGATTGTCCCTCTTATGATGATCTGTGTTGCACCACGCAATTCACCATTATTGTCACACGAGTCGTGGTCCATGATATTCTCTATCTTATTAGGACTTACCAATGGCTATTTTGGTAGTGTACCTATGATATTAGCTTCGGCCACTGTACCAGAAGAACAAAAAGAGCTCTCAGGTCAGATTTATTTATTTATTTATTTATTTATTTATTTATTTACTTACTTATTTACTTATTTATTTATTATAATGTATATCATCTCATTGAGTCTGGTAATATAATATATTATTTTTACTTTCAGGCAATATAATGACGTTGTCGTATAATATAGGATTGACTGCTGGGTCTGGCGTGGCGTATGCGCTTAATTATCTTCTCGGACCTGCGTCTACAGCGATCACACAGTGTCATCAATTCATTAATGTCGCAACTGAATCACCCTAATAACACGATGGACACTTGTTGCATGTAAACCGATGTACATATGTATTAAGTAACAATGTATGTAGCCTATAATGTCCTTTCGCCAGATGTACTCAAACTGTGCGACCCGAAATCTATTTTCGTAAAGAAATCGTGGAGGGATTGTTGGATGGACTAATAGTGCGCGAGTGGACGTATGGCGTATGGCGTATGTTTAATCGCATATCACCAATGCGTTTCCAGATTTCTAATTCCTCATTGACACCCATGATGCGATGTATATATTTATGTGTATGTATTAAAGCCTAATTTCGTTGGTTCTACGATACGATACAAATGACAAAACGGGATTT